TCCCATGATCCTTCAAGTAGACCCTACAGCCTAGGATTTTGGATTCCGGGTACGTTGAGCCAGGCGCGGGGCGGCCCATCCTCCATGGTGCGATGGCCGCAGTCTCCGCCGGATCCAGGAGGTTTGGGGTTTGGGGGTTTTAGGGTCCAGGGTTTTTGGTTTAGTCGGGATTCAGGGCTTAGTGCATTGCAGTCCCTGCTCAGAAAAAGGGGTTTGGGGCTTTGGGTTTTGGGGTTTAGGGGTTTGGGGCGTAGGGTTTTGGGGTTTAGGGATTAGGGTGGGGAGTCGATTCGGAGCACATCAAGGTCCAACTCGGCAGGTCAGAGGGCGCGGGGTCCCGATTTGGGGATTTCATGTCTCAGGGCCGGCCGATATCTGATTAAGAGAGATATATATGTATATACATATATATATATATACATATATATATATATGCATATTTGATGGTTTAGGGTTTAGGGTATTTCATGATGTTGCTCGCTACGAGTTTGGCTGCAGAGTTCTCGAGGATTTGTGGCTAGGTTATGCACGGTGTCTTTGATACCCGATGTCACACTGATAGGTCAATATCTTCGGTTATATATACTTAGTGGCTGAGTAGGTAACCTTTAACCTTTTGGGGTTTGCATAATGCTACCATAATTGAAAAGGTTAACCATTTTTGGGCAAGGGTACTCAGCCCCTAAGTATATATATATATATGCATACATACATATATATGTATGTGTATGTGTGCGCTTGTGAACCGAATAGCCTCGCCTGGAGTTCCGAGTTTCCGACATTTCAAATCATATCATCATACATTTATATACATATATATATATATATATATACATATCTATCTTCTTTTTATCAAATATAGTGCACCAACTCCCTAAACCCTAAACCCGAACCCTTGTTCTGATTAGCAAGGCATCTAAATCCTTGCCGTGACTGTGTTCGCCCACGCGAGGCCGCCCATATGGGAGGTCCTGAGGCCGTCTTACACAGAACCTTGCCTTTTCAGCCGGGTTTTAGATTGTTGGATGAAGCTGCATGTCTACTACTACTACTACTACTACTACTACTACGAATACTACTACGACAACTACTAGTACTCGTACTTAGCACTATCCAGCACTCGGACTAGCTCTAGCACTGCACTCGTATTCGTACTAGTGCTAGCACGAGCGACTAGTAATCATGATCATGCTGATAATTGCAGCGCAGACCATGGTACCACAAGCAATAGCGACAATGCTGATTATGGTGGCACCATGATGATAACGGTAAGAAAACCGTCTGTAATAGCGATAGGCATACCACTGCTAACAGTACAAGTAGGACATGAGAGCATGACAGCCGCAATAATACATGCAACGATGCAGAGGCTTTTCATGGCCGGAGCAGGAGCGGATAGGTTCCCAAGAAGTTGAACAGCACTACAGGACGCACTAGCTTAACATCAGTTCTGAGTGCATGGTTGCTGTGTGAACGGTGTTGCTGAAATATGATTGTTGTTATTCTTCCGGTCATCCTTCCTATTCGTCGTAGAACTGGTTAGTGGTATTATTATCATTCAGGCTTTCGCAAGCAGCATTGGTTACACAGCTGTTCTTGCTGTACACCGGGCTGCTATGAGGACTTCCACGAGTGTAATAAGACAAGTGGTGGTAGAGGCACGCACGCAAGGCGGCATGTAGTAGCGATGGTGCAGATGTATGAGGAGAGTGTGTTTTCTTTGCTGACCTCGTCGAGTGCGAGTGCTAAACATGAGGAGAGTGCCAGCAGCTTGCTGCGACAAGGATTTAAGCCTCTTCTACATACATGTTGCTGGCCACTAGGCTCTCGCTTTCGTATTTGCCCGAAGGTCACAAGTTGTCGGTCGATACCTCTGAACAGGGAAGACGGTGTTTGTCTTCTACGTGCTGCGATGGTACGACAAGAGTTGCTCTCCGGGTTCAAGGGGTGTCTTGGTCTTTGTTTTGTGGCTGTGCTTCGACTCTCGCAGGATTCTAGCAGTCAGCGAGTCAGCAGGGCATGAAGACTCCTTCTGAGAGAAGGCTCCATGGGGTTCAGGTCAGGTGCACCATGCCTACTTTCCAGCCGCTGGTCTTCGTGGAGTTTTCGGCCGCCTCAGCCCTCTAGTAGGAAAGGGGCCCCAGGCCAAACCTTAAACCCTAAGTACCGTAATCCCTATTCAGCCGAACGCTGGACGGTCCTTTCAGCAGGCATCGGCTCGAGTCAAGAGCCAGGGGTGTCTCTTGCGCAGAGCAAGTCTGCGCTGAGATGGCGGCCACCCCTCAGAAAACCCGCGAGTTACAAACAGAGCTGGATCCCGAGCTGTTGAGACTGGGCTCTGGAACACACTAAACCCCAAGCCCTGACGGAAACCCTAAACCCTAAACCCTAAACCCTAAACCCTAAACCCTAAACCTGTTGTGTGATGTGTTTTTGTTTGGGATCCTGTTCTTTGAAACATGGGGCTTGCGTGGAAGAAGCTGGGCCAAGAGTTTTTCCGACCATAAACTCACTCCGAAACCCCTCTAAAAAAACACAAATCGAGAAGTGCACCACGTTTTAAAGTTTAGGGGTCAGGGTCATTTCAAAGCCCTAAGACCCTAAGACATCATAACTAAGAAGCGTCTAAGGCTTAAAGACTTGAAGCCCCTAAACCCCAAACCCCAGACCCTAAACCCTAAACCCTAAACCCTAAACCCTAAACCAAACCAGGAGAGGGGTTCCTTTGCCTGTTTGCCTCAGCGGCTGGGCCAAACATTTCGTGCCGCCGGACCCTGGGATGTTCCTCGGCCCTCCTTAGGGTTCCGGAGTTGTAGGGATTGTAGGGTTAAGGGTAGGTTTGCCTAAAGGAAAGGTCCATACACCATGAGGCCAGACGTCCCATTTCTTCCCCCCTTGCGGCTCAGCCCAGAGAAAGGCTGCTGGCTCTGACCTCCTTCGCCATGTTTTTGAGGGGGCTTTGGCTGTAGTTCCTGGGGTACGTGTCCATCCAAACTCGCTAATCAGCCGTGGTTCCTAAACCCGAATATGTCGCAGGCCCTACTGCTCCCTGTCCATCAACCTGCACTCTAACCTTCCGTTCCAAACTTAAAACCCTTTCAATACTCGGAAACTCTCCATGCGCTAATTTTAAGGTGCCCACAACCGCCAGCTCAACTTAGGTCTACGAATAACACATAAAGTCAACCGGGCTTAAGACTCGTAGGATACCAAACGAGAGTACGGAGGAGAAGTCCCTAAACCCTAAACCCTAAACCCTTAACCCTAAACCCTAAACCCTATAATATAAACTCTAGAAGGTTCAACGTGGATCACGGGGACTACGCTCTCAGCCGAGCCACCGACTCCTACGACGAGTTCCTGAGCCACGACTGGGCGACCCCTCGCCTGCTGAAGCTGGTGTCCATGCTGATCCTTGGGTGTCCAATTGAAGGGTTGAGGGTTTAAGGTTTAGGGTTCAGGGTTTAGGGTTTAGGGTTTAATTGTGCGAAAGTGTTCTTCTGCACTCTTCTTCTCGCGATTTGTTGTTTATCATTATTGTTTTGTGGCGGTTATCTCGGTCGTTGTGGCTCATCTCATCCCTATTACTTGTCTGGCTTGATTGTGAACAATGACATAGTAGAAAGTTTTGCGGAGAGAGGGCCATGTTTCTTGCTCCAACGGTCGTCAGTCATGTGCGTTACAGAACCTTCAGAGTGGAGGAGCCTATGCAGTTTCCCATGACTCAGCTTTCGGGCTGTTAGGTACTTGGGCCTCCAATCAGAAAAGTACGTAATTTCTACATAGGACTGACGGCCCGAAGAGCATACTACTTAAGAGAACGTCAACCAGGCATGGTGCACGAAGCGATCTTTTTGGTTGCAAAAGAAGCTGTACTACATATACATATATATATAT